CTCCAGGCAGACTTAAGTGTTGTGATTAACTGGTTTAAAGAGTGGCTAATGCCTATCAACGCGGCAAAGTTTATTGACATGCACTTTGGGGATACAAAGGTAGATAAGTACAACATAGAGGAAGTGACTTTACCCGTGATCTGGTCTCACAAGGATCTTGGGGTGACAGTCAGCCATAATCTTAAGACCGCGGTCCATTGCCGGGAAGTTGAAGCTAACGGGTTTAGGACCCTACAGGCTTTAAGACGGACATTCACTAAATTAGATACTATCATGTTCACTACAGTATACACAACCTTAGTGAGGACTAAGCTTGAGAACTGCATTCAGGCTGCTAGCCTCTGTTTAAAAGGTGAATCGGATATCCTGGAATACATACAGAGGACAGCTACCCGTGCAATTCCAGAACCCCGGGGTTTACCATACAAAGAGAAGCTTGAATAGCTGGACCTCTTTACTCCGTCCTATCGCAGACTAAGAGGTGATTTGATTTAGATATATAGAATACTAAAGAATCATTTTGGACCTAACATATCACTAGATCTAGACATCTCAGAGGACATAGCAGGCGATTAGAAAAGCCTAGATCGGATGAAATGCTCGTGGCATACAGGTTTTTACACCGAGTCATCAATTCTTGGAACCCGTTACCCAAAACAATTGTGTCTGCACCTTTAATTGACTCATTCAAGAGAAGACAAGACACTCACAGGAGCATACTAGAAAAGGAATAACATAGGCCGTAGGCCTTCTGTTCTTACTGCATAATTATGAATCTGATGTGTTTTAGTTTCTCGAAGACATTTGCCTTCTCAAGGTTACCCGTCAAAGTTGTATATCTGGCACTTGCATTCAAATGGTACTGTTTTCTGTCAGAAGGTTCGGACATCACTTTACAATATCTTCCTAGGTTGTATAAACTGATCTGATTTGTCTTACAATGTGTCTGCCGCGAATAAAAATGACCAAGAGACGATCAATATGCATATAGTAAGCACGGAATTTATTGCATCATACATATTGGCTTAAGCCAATTGGTTCTGTTTACTGTCATTCATGCCACTTTAACTGTATATGAAGCATTTATCACAAGGACGATTGAGTTTTAATTCATTTTCGTCCTCACTATGCAACTAGACGGGATGGACTCACTTATTAGTTGCTACGTTGACTCTCTACAGATCCTTCCCTTGGAAATGCAGTCCAGAATAACCGCATACCTTCAGTCAGATCTTCAACAACGTCACTTACTAGCACTAGCTAGGCGCACTGTGGATGAGATGCAAAAGTCTGTTGAGTGTAGTACCAAAAGAAAGCATTTGGACCAACTCATTTATGTTTTAGTTGCGGTCCAAAACATATGCGACCGCCGAATCAATGATCTGGATGAAGTAAGTCCAAACATTTGCTGTAAATATCTGACGTTTACTTCGGAATCTCTGTAGAACTTGTCTCATATCTATTCTCGGTGGTTTTCCTTTTATTAACTCATCGACTATGTTCGAATTTGCATGCTCGGCTCTCATTCACTCCAAGTGTAAGGCCCGGTGATGTTATTCGTTTTTCCCGAAGCTTTGGTGAGTAAATCTGTATTCAGGCCCGCCATCTAGTGCCCAGAAGTCTAGCATCGTAACCTCTGAGCCACCGTCTTACAATTTTTCTCTTCCGAGTGTTGGACTGGCATTCTGGCTTCCTCACTAGATAGAAAAATAAGACACCTCTGCAATTAATATCGACCAATAGTTACTCCTGTGTTTGACTGAATGGTATTGTGAAAACTTAAAAGTGTCGAAAAACAGGTTGCTTGTTCAACTTATGAATAAGTAATCATATGTAATTGCGCGTGGGAGCTAGTGCAATTAACAGTGACATCTAACACAGAGGAGCTATTATGACAACCGCTTGCTACATCTCTTCTGCGACCACTAGTTTTCTGGGAATTACCAAGTTCAGGTTAAGGGTCTAATATTGTCACTTTGGAGTAAAGGTTGTTTCTGGGTTCTGGAATACGTGGTCAATTCCAGATAGTGTCAGTTGATCTACCCTAGTAAACACAAAGTGAATGCACTGCCTATTTCAAATGTCAGTGTCAACCATGTATTTAAAACAGATTCAGGTGACACTAAAAAAGCAGTCAGCCAGGGAAAACATTTAACGTGTCTTATATGCATCACCTGAATTCACTTCATCAGTACAAAAAAAGGTAATTACCAAAATAAATACTGAAGTGGTACTAGCAGTAGTGGTAGTGGTAATATATTCTTTAGTAACGAATATGAAACAGATGACGTGACGAGTTCGGAAGCGTATCACGACTGGCTCTGAAAGTGGCAATTGTGTAGACTTAATATTAATCATGGCACAACGTTCCGTTTGTCTATCGTCGAAACAAACTGACTCAGTCATTAAAGCGTTCAACCAAACAATTGATTCAGACATCTAAATCCTATCCCTACCTCCAAGGACCATTCCACGTAACTAGATCTGACGACAAACGGTATGGTCGACTGATGGCTTCTCATGGAACGGTTTTGAAGCAAACTCACCAGTGAACTGATGAAAGGTCAACATATCCCAACAGAATGGAATTCTTTCAGTAAAATGATGTACCTATTGACAAAGTCTGACTCATGATCACTGCAACTATTACCTAGCTTGAAGTATGCTACTACGATTTAGGAAGGTGATAATTTCACACCATACATAATTTCTAGCAAAACATTTGTTACCTGCAGTTATCTCGTTCATGCTACTTGTTAGACTCACGGATTTTTCTCTTAAAATCCCCTAGCAATGAAATGCTCCAGTAAATAATTACTTTTAAGGGGTATTCCCGCTCACTTAAAACTCAAACTCCGGGCATGTTATTCACAACACACTTCGTAGAGATGTCAAGTTTTTTGTATCACTGTGTACTCTTCGTTCCTCGGCCTCACTCATTCCTTCTTGTATCTAGGCTTCCACTGCAGTAAATAATAATAACCTCTCTCTCATCATCACTAAATCGCTGGATGTGTTAGTGTAAAATGTAGTTATGATACACATTAAAGATTTTAACTTAGAGATGAATGGTTCAATGACATGTTTACCACTTTCACTCAACTATTTATTGTTTCTCATTTTGCTTAATTATTTCCGGAGAATATGAATCTATGTCTTAGACTTGCCAAATGTCTAGGAGTTGATAACTAAATTCGTCACTGTATGCTAGTTGTGATGAGCTATCGTATAGGACTTTTTAAATCTATGTAAATTACGAAATTTAATGTTTTTTCCATAAAACATTATATATCCAATGTTTCCACAATCGTTTTACATTTTTTAAATTTTGTTTAAAAAATTTATTCAGTTAGATGAAGTAATTGAAACCCATTCTTTAAAGCTGATGAATGCTAAAATGAAAGTTGATAAAATTGATCCCCAACGTACTCATTCAAATACGGAAAATGTCCCTGAAAGTGAAATCGATACCAGTGATCTAGAAGTGTCTAATCCCCAATACAATTGTAATTTACTACGGCGCAACTTACCTCAGGAATCAAGTTTCGATAAGTGCACTAGCTACTCTATACCAAACACACGATGTAGTGATGTAAGCATACGAGGTAAAGAGCGCTTCCCATTGCGTGCTGTTAGCACTAATAGTCGGACTGCATCACGTCGATCACTGAACAAATGGGTTCCCGGCGTTCATCGTTTCAAACCTGCTAATTCAATCTCCAATACAAATGCCAACAACTCTCTAAAGTCCAAAGGTGATGCTAACAATAAGTCAACAGGTAGGACTTCAGTGGAACTCAAACAACATAAAGTAGGTGTAACATATACTCGTTACTCTCGAAGTCAACAACAGCGATTCAAAAGTCATCGTGTATTGCCAAGATCACTTCACCCGAACCGTGCAAGGCCTCAGTACTTAGAGTACGCTATGCTGAGACATGGGTCTCGGAGGAGGAGAAATACGGTGTCGAAATATACTAATCCCGACTCTTCTCGAAATTGTGAGGAAACAAATCTCGTAGGTAGTGTGAAGCGACGACACGAACAAAGCCATTCTAGTTTTTACAAAAACGACAGTTGTTTTGGTTCATCTAATAAATCAATAGGTGATTTAAATACTGAAGATAAAACAGAAGAGAGGGATGCATATACCCTACTTAGTTTAAAGAGCCCAAAAAGGTTGGTAGATAGGTCATCCGATTGGAATAACAATTATAATGAAAATGAAAATCTGGTTGATGTAGATTGTAGTGACAGCAATGGTCATACCACATATGATATGGGATGTGATCGAAACTGTCCTTCGCAAGAAACACAAGTTATCAGAACACTAACTAATCAACTAACAAACGCTCAAAGTGGTGAACCAAGTCGTCAAAAGATGTATAGACTCCGAAGAGCTAGTAACAATATACAGTCAACACAATCATATCACCGACCCAATCCATCTTTTCCACCTGCATCACCAGAACATGGATCTAATCGCAGTTGCTTAACATCTCAGAGTCTTAGCCACAGCAACGCTAGGCGAGGATGTCGAAGTAATAACACCGTACGCCACAAAATGGATCTTCAAGTAAACACACGGTCTCCTCCAGGAAATCCATTTAAGTATGGATCACATGCTGATGATATGAATGCATTTCGACACAAAGTAATATCGGAAAACAGCCCTAGTCATAGTATGAGTGAAGCAAGCGTCAGTCCAGATGAGCGTCTGTATTGTATATGTCAAAAAGTATCATTTGGCGATATGATAGCTTGCGACAACAAGTTCTGTGAGGTTGAATGGTTTCATTTCTCATGTGTAGATGTTCGGGTTCAACCTAAGGGTAAATGGTATTGCCCTTACTGTCGAGGAGAGTCTTCGAAAATAAAAAGATCCGATATCTAATGTCGTTTTTATCCCCCCTCCTTAGAATCCATTATACGAATAAGGATTTTGGAAAAGCCAAGTCGTGGATGATAATGCATAATTATTATTGTTTTTTCAAGTAATATTATAAATTGACTTTCCCCAAGCCTTCTATAACTTTCCTGGTTTCCAGTAATTTTGAACGAGCTTTTTGGTACGCTTCTGAATATTGAATAAAGACGTATATTAAAGTATAACCTACTTATTATCGTTGAAACATCCATGTGTGCAAGTGCTATCCTGTAAAAACATTCTTTATTAATCTTCAAATAGAGACTACCTACCTTCTTTGCTTATCATCACCCGTTGTTGGACATCTGCTCATAGTCCTGTATAGATTGGACCTGCACGTAAAAAAACTCAGTTTTACTTCTCACGACAAAATTGTTTTATATTCTGCACAAATTTATTATTATTACCTACCATGTAGTATAATTTCTGAATAGAAAATATCTTCAAATACGTAGTATAGCTCTTTTCATTCTACAAACTTTTTTACTTACTGACAAGTGTATTTATAGTATCGTATCAATTAGGTAGTGAATTTCCTAATTGGGAGTTCAATTACTAGGACCATTGCTCATATATTAGGTAAATGCGGCAAACCGACTGACGAAGTAGTAGTAGTTATCGACCGAAATAGTAAGGATATGAGTTATGTCAATAGGTGTAGACCTCCCCAGCTGGGATTCGCGTGATTATTGTAACTAATGGTTAGAGACTTAGTGTGACATGGCTCAGAATCGTTCGCAATGGGATAGGTGCATTGATTCTTTGGATCGACGCCTTGTTGCTTACTATAGTCAGTGTTACAAAGTCTTCAAAAGTAAATTAGAAAATATATGGATTACTATTTATCTCGTAAAAAACGGATGGATGTCTGCATATTGAAAATGGAGTAGTCTCGCTTGCAAACAAAGCCAGCAGCTGAAGGATATTGATTTAAAAAGATCACTGCAGTTAGGTAATGGAAATATGCACAGGTTGGTTTTCAATAATCCTAGAGCTGTTTGGTTACTTACCAGCTTTGGATTGCACAATTTAGATGCAGAAATAGTTTTCCTGTGCTTTTTGTACGAAATCCATATTTCACTAGGTTATTGCTCTGGAAATGTAGGGAAAGTCGTTTTAGACAAAAAAGCACGGACATCTCGTAATAAATAAAGCATTTTATAAATTGTGCTAAGTGGCAGGGACTTTTGTATTTAACGTTTGTACCTATAACAGTTATGTCGTAAATTTCATCCAACTTAATGACCGAGGTCCCACTATGTTAATGGCCACCAGATAAGTGAAACGAAATATTTTTATAAATCAACTTCAACACTAATAATTTGGTGTCGGTCCATGAGTGGAATACTGAGTGAATTAAATTTTACTGCCAATATAAACCAGTTTACAACTACCTTAAGCTGAGACACTGCTTTACATTGAAACTAGGTGGTGACCGCTCAACTGTAGATTGCAAAAATGTGTTTTCAGATTCTCATCATTTTAGAATGACATTGTCGATGCTCACTTTAAATTTTTTACGTTGTTTGAAACAAAATTATTGACAATGAATTTGATAAGTTCGATTATGTCTAAGAGAATCTTCGGTGCATCCTCGTGATTGAGGTTTGTGACCGCAGTAGTGAGGACCAATGTAGAATATAAGTTTATGGTTTCTACACAAATTAAGCACTTATACTAGAAAGTTTGCAGCTACTGATACAATTCTATCAGTAGTCACATAAAAGAAATTTTGTACATAAAATGCTTCTGGTCATTGTTTTACAAACTGCGTCTTGGTAAATGGCTTTAGATCAATTTGCGCAAGGCAGCAAAATGTGGTTATTCTAATGTTCATTGATGATTCGTTAAGGTGTCCAGTATTTTTGGAGGACTTTGTGTTGTGAGCAAGAACCGATGTATAATGCCCCCAAATGCCCTGGTATGGCTGAGAGTCCGCTCACCCTCTAGAAATGCTCTCACACGGCCACGCGTATATAGCATCTGTCAGGGAAGTCCTACTCACTGCCTTCTCGTGGCGGGGGTGTTATTCACGAAATCGAGAGGACAAAAAGCGAATGTCCGGCGCTTTAACCGGGTTGGTGGACATGAAGACTCCACCTAGGGGGTTGGAAAACGCTGATTCTAAACCAATGGTGCATATGGACTCCAGTATCCTGAAGGAACAAATGACTTATGAATCAGTCGTTGGTCACCGGCTACCATGGGATTGCATCTCCTTATAATGCTCCACTGCCTTGTGGATCGGACCTTCAGGTCGAAGGACCCGGTTGTGGCCCCCTAAGGAAACCATCTGCTTTGGTCTGGGCACCCGGGCAGTATCACAGCCCTCACACAAATCAAATGAGATTTGTGTGGCGCATATGTATTTGGTGCTTCCTTGTACCAATATCTGTGTCCAAATAAAATAAAAGCCGATGTATAATAACTATAATCCAGCTGAAACCAGGCTCAAATGGACTAACTTTTATTTGTATTTAAACATTTTTCTATAATTCAAATGATTAGTCTGTCATAACTTCGCATACTACTCAACATAAATTGTAGAAGCGATAATCATTCCCTAGTCTCGGTATGTCCATCGGCTCTACCGCTTAGTGTGCTGTTCAATGTTACGAGATGATTCTTAAAAATTCAGAATTTGTTCATAAGGTGTTTGTTTTTTAATGAATTATATTCCCAGTGGGTAATAGCGTCTTTCATTTGAACGGGAAAGCTTCATTTATTGAAGTGTACAATGAGCCATTTTACTACAAAAGTCAATCTAATTGGGAGGATTATATGTTGATTGCATTCATAGTCATTATCGATAAACCCAATAGAGTAAGCGAAAAATTACCAGTTCACCCATAATTTGACAGGCAAATATTAAATGTAAACATGACTTCGTAGTTTTAAGAGCATTATCCATCTAAGAAAAAGTCTCAGTGTACATCGTTTACTAATTTCATGTTGGAATTTCCCATCAAATGTGTAATCGTATTGCGTTTCATACTCACTTCAAATGATCCAGGTATTTTGACAAATGTGGGGTCCTCTAGTTGGCATGTTCCACCTATAAAAAATCTTCTTAGTTCCTCTACAACAGAATCTCCTACTGGGCGCCAACAACTCACACCAATTGAGTGAACACCTGCAAAAAGTAAAGAGTAATTTTACGCGTCCAAATGAGCTTTTGATGCTATCAACTCACATACAACCCAAGAAAAATTCAATAACAATCGATACTCTGCCAAACTTCACATATTCGTAATATTTCTATCTCCACCCCATAACTTTTATTAAATCAATGTACCAAAACATACCGCTTTTTAATAATTTATAATGTTAAGTAATCAGAGGTAGCTTTAGGCTACAAAATCCAACTAAAATAGGCTGAGTTCTAACGGATCGTTAACTGACATACTGCCAGCTAATATGGAGTTATTTTCTTTGTAGGGAACATTCGAATGTTTTAGAGAAGCACTAATGTACAAGTAGTAATAATTCTTTTCGTCCCTTTGTGTACACTTCATACTTTAGTGAGATGATTTTTGAGTCAAGCGGATTATTATAGAGAGTCAAATGGAATTAATAAAGTTGCTTGTCGCAAATGTCTGAGATGTTTTTGCGTGTAGTTATTCAAGATTCTTCTAAACGAACAAATGCAAGAGAAGACGACCAGTGAAGCAGCAGCCTCAGCAGCAATAGGTCTCAATATACACAAAGGGAAAAGCACGATTCTCCGATACAACACAGCATGCACCAATCCAATCACAATTGACGGAGAAGCTTTGGAAGATGTAAAAACCTTTGCATATTTGGGCAGTATCATCGATGAACACGGTGGATCTGATGCAGATGTGAAGGCACGGATTAGCAAAGCAAGAGCAGCATATTTACAACTGAAGAACATCTGGAACTCAAAACAATTGGCAACCAACACCAAGGTCAGAATTTTCAATACAAATGTGAAGACAGTTCTACTGTATGGGGCGGAAATCTGGAAAACTACGAAATCCATCATCCAGAAGATACAGGTGTTTATTAACAGTTGTCCACGCAAAATACTTCGAATCCATTAGCCAGACACTATTAGTAACAACCTACTGTGGGAGAGAACAAATCAGATCCCAGTGGAGGAAGAAACGCTGGAAGTGGATAGGACGCACATTGGGGAAAGCACCCAACTGCGTCACAAGACAAGCCCTCACATGGAATCCTCAAGGCCGAAGGAGGACAGGAAGACCAAAGAACACATTACGCCGAGAAATGGAGATATACATGAGAAAAATGAACAAGAACTGGATGGAACTAGAAAAGAAGGCCCAGGACAGAGTGGGTTGGAGAATGCTGGTCGGCGGCCTATGCTCCATTGGGAGTAACAGGCGTAAGTAAGTAAGTATTCAAGATTACTTGACATTTTAGTATTCAAAAGTGTTTTCTAGTCAAAGTCTATGAAGCCGAGCAAATTTATTTAATCTTACCAGCAATGCGCGGAAGTTCTATGAATCCATACCCTTCAGTTCGACTCCGAGTCCAAAAGTCAAGCGACTGGACTTCAAAATACAGTGTAGGCCATACTGAAACTGATCCTTTTGTCAAGTCTAGAAGACAATTAAAGTGTTTAAGATATATATTTCTGTAAATAAAGTTAGTGGTATTTACTCTACATGGTCTGTTGCTTAGAAACGTATATTCGTCACCTTGGTTCCAAGTTTTCATTTAGTCTCTACCGGTCTTTTCACTGTGAAGTGTTATTTAAGACATTTTTCTTATTAATTATGTAAAAAACTACACTTTCAAACACTTTATGGATCCTATTGGTTTGACATATTATTTACTTCTGCATTGTTTAGCCTTAGTTCCGTCTGATTTAAGAAGTCCTATTGTTATGATTATTATATCGGATCTCAAGGGGCTGCTAGTTCCAAAGATTCCATATTATTGATCTAGATAGATGGGAATAATATCCACGTAAAGTCACAGATTGGTCCACCAGGGTGCTTGGTACCTGTGTGGTTGCGCCACAGGATTGAGCTGTACTATTAAGATTGTAGCGTTATAGCCTATACGGTGTCCGGCTCCCCTGTTAAATGGGCTTGGGCTGTACTGTTTGGGTTGTCGCGTGAAAGTCTGGACGGTGTCTGGTTCTCCTGAAAACCGATGTAAAATTACCCTGGCCCACAAGGGTATATTATATAACTGTGAAGCCCCCAAATGCCCTGGTACGGCTGAGTGGGGAGAGTCCGCTCTCCCTCTCGAAATGCCCTCACATGGCCATGCGTATATAGCCCCTGCCAGGGAAGTCCTACTCACTGCCTTCACGTGGCGGGGGTGTTGTTTACAAAAATGAGAGGACGAAAAGCGAATGTCTGGCGCTTTAACCGGACCCCAAACCAATGGTGCACATGGGCTCCAGTATCTTGCGGGAACAAATGGCGTATGAACCAATCGTTGGTCACCGGCTACCATGGGACTGCATCTCCTTACGATGCTCCACTGCCTTGTGGGTCAGACATTCAGATCAAAGACTCGGGGTGTGGCCCCCTAAGAAAACCACCTGCTTTGGTTTGGGCACCCGGGCAGTATCACAGCCCTCACACAAATCAATTGAGATTTGTGTGGCGCATATGTATTTGGTGCCTCGCTGTACCTATACTTATGTGTTAAAATAAATAAATAATAAAGTCACAGATAAGAATTTGATTATCCTTGATTTAGTGGATGGTTTGTGCGATCGACAAAGGATAGAATAAACCCACATCCTTAAAGGTTAAAAGTAAATGACTCTTTATTCCTCTTGCAAAATGCTTTTTATTCATGAACTTCATTCTCTTCCATCATATATTATCTATATTTTTCACTAGGATATAGTATTAAGGTCGTTGTTCCAATTACACATTGAGATATTTATACAATATCCATTCGTACCATATTGAATAAAGCGAGTATTTTTGACTTGTATTTACACTAGAACAGTGCTGAAATGACCAGATAAAAATTTGACATTACTTAGGTCAATATTTCTGCGTCAATTCATTATGAATTTCGATCGGGGCGACTGGTGTGAACTTCGTTTAGTGGGACGATTGTATTCCGCGCATCCATTAAAGTAAACTGTATCAAGTACTCGACGAAGTTTCCCCTTTGTGTGTAAAAATTAGTATGTAAGTTACTGTATTTTGGTCTAATGACGACTTGTTTTGGACATATTTTTGGGAAATAATGAATCTTAATTCCACCAATGTTTTGTGTTTTCAATTTACGCCGTGGGAAATGCAGGGGTTCCCGTTTTTTAAGTAAAAGCGGTAAGGTAGTGGACACAACCAAGTCAACATGTGCATTAACAGAGGAGATATAATAAGTACATTATTCGTTTACGCAATTAAATAGAATTTTTTGGAAGTGTGCAACAGTTTGGCAATATCCTGTTATATGTTAGTTATACTTACCGATACTTATTTCAGGTTTATATGTTAGGTCAAATTCGATCGGATGCGAAAACATAATTATTTCTTCCTACAAGAGATAATTTTAGAATGAACTGTAAAAGTAACAAATTGTTGGGAAATAAGCTATCAGAGTCAGTCGATGTATTTCAATCAGAGAGGTAACAAAGTATGTATTTCAGTTTCGTAGAATTTCTTTCTTTACAAAATATCGAACTCTTTCAATGCTTTCCAAAAATCTTAGTTGGAAAATTCGATACATATGCATACCATGATGATTCTGTAGAAGGAGCCTACAGTTAAAGATCACTATAAATCAAATTGGATAATCTAAATGTAACGATTTAGTCTGCATACCATCATTAAAATAAACTAAGATATTTTATATCTAACCCAATGGTATACAAATATATCTTTATCAAAGTTCACTTACGTTTCCATAATTTTTGACAGAGGCTATCTGGGAACTTCCACATAATAGCTTATGATCATACGCTTTCCAGTCTGAAATAATATGGTTCTATTAAGTACGAATTCACTTTGTGGTAATTCAAGATAATATTGTACATACAATCCAGGGTTTTCAAAGTTAGTCGCACCCACTAAAATAACTATTAAAAGATAACTTACTTATCTCTCCAGCGATAAAAAGCCTGAAACTGTGTTCATTTGGCTATGTATATGTTAGAATTTTGATAGACTACATACCATCTCAAACTGTTTGCCGATGGAGGCACAAAAGTGGGAAAATTTTCTAAGTGATATCTACATCTTGAGTTAAATTTGCGTTCTAAATCCACCTCTTTATCCATGTTTCTTATTTTCTGTTTGTCCAGATCAGACATTTGAAGTGAAATATTTTCCAACGTATAATAATATGACCCTAAGAGTATAATTTACTAGTAGCAGAATAAACCTTTTTGTTTGCTTTTTATTTTGTACTTAACAGACCCACGAGTAAAATCGGGTTTGCAACGTAAAAGTCCATTAGAATCAATAGTTATCTTGCAGAGAATTTCTTCATTGCCCACATAAAGAGGCGATAAGTCTGCAGCATCATTTGGAATATCATTACTCAAATCGGCCATTATATACATCTCTTGGGTTATTGTAGTAGGTAGGTGACTAACGTGTCTATAATGGTCAGGAGGAAACTCCAACATTTCATTTGTTGGCATATGACTTCAGGTTTTGACACTGATTAATTAGTACTTACTTCGATAGGTTGTCTAGTTTCAACTGGATGTTAGATCTTCGTTTTTCAGGATATGATATAGTTCCAATGCCATCCACGAATATCTAAGAAAATCTATAACAAAAATATCACGTACGTCTCTTTCTACTGGTATTTCGTCCTTATAAATATAAGTGAATAATCTTTTTGTTGGGAATCCTGAACCTCTTCGTATATTTTTAGAATAATTCGGACTCACTTCATATTGCTTATTTCCTTGTTGTAGAGTAGTTGCGTTTCAGTCGTACAATTTTTTCGGTCCTTATAAAGAGCCTTTTCTTTCTACAAAATTAGAAGTTAGATATGCAGATTTCGTAAAAGCATCAAAAGGGTGAAAAAATACATCTTATATATATTAATCGTCGTAATACAATACCTGAGAAAGTATATTTTTGAAATTTGGATGGGTGCAAATGCTTCAGTTGCTGTCATCACTGAAATCTAGTGATCACTAAGAAACATCGATCTTCAAATATTTTATTACTATATATTATTTTATTTGGACCCATAGATATTGGTACAAGGGGGAACCAAATACATATGTACCAGTAGCAGTTATCATTGACTTGTATGAGGGCTGTGATACTGCCAGGGTGCCCAAACCGAAGCAGGTGGCTTTCTTGGAGGACGACACCCCAAGCCTTTTACCTGAAGGTAGATCTAGTTCTATAGCCATAAATCTTAATGTAGCTCCATTTGAAAATAAGGAGAACCAGGTAATGTTACATTGGTGTTTTAGCTTCATATCACTGGAATGTAGTAGTACACCAACTGTTCAGAATAATCCACTTGATCCTGATATTGAAACTGGTTTTCGCCTTTCAATATACAAAGATATTCTTTTTCTAGTTTTTTGTTAATTTTAGTTTGTACCTTGCTGTGGAGAAGCACACTTAGTTTGTAGTGGCACACAGGAACTGTAGTAGTTCACAATAACATAAACCATCCAATAAGAAGTAATCGATGCACTTCAAGTGCTTGTTGCGAGTTTACCATTCAAAATATCTTAAACTTGTCCACCAACTACATCTAGTTATCCTCTTTATATAGGTTTCTCACTGAATGTAGCAGATTATTTGTAGACACTTGATACTTCTGCGTCGTGAATTGCAGACGTTACGAATTAATTTCTTTAAAATTTGCACGTAGATTTCTATTGGATTAATAAATTGAGGTACTAGGTGAAGCAATACCTAATCCTAACTCAGTAATTCTTTTGTGGATTGTATTATCGGTTTCCAGGTTGAAACATTCAGAGTTCTCAAATCATCGCCAGATATACTGCTACAATTTCAAAAATCAAAGTGCTGAAAATAAATGAAACTGAGAAATCAAAAAAGTTTCATGAAAGCTAAATTTCAACCTATAAATGTACTATCCTAATCGAGTCGATAGTTAAACTGTTACTTCCAAAATAATCATTTCATTATCTTATATGAATCAATAAGTAGACATGTGAAATGGATCTTTGGGAATTTCTCATAGATCGTGCGAATTCCAAGACGGAGCACCGTGCAAAATTCCGCACTCTTGAATACACTTACTGGACTGAAGATCTTTTCCTGCCAATGGAACACATACTCTTCTTCCAGACACTGCTCCTCTGCCTTACTACGCCGACAGAATAATTTAACTCTGATTTAGAAAATTAGGCAGTTTGATACCTAATGGAAAAATTTCGCAAAGGACCACTTATGACATAAGTTTCAGAGTCAAATCCATCCATGACTATTTCGCGCGTCTAAATAAAGGATCGCTATGGCAACGACAGTAAACGTTGTGGAGATGGTTGATGAAAACTGATACCGTAGGAAATTTTCTTAAAACCATAATCTCTATCATAGGCCATTGTTATTGACTACTTCAACATTAGTAACGGTAAGACAGAAGAGACAGTTGGCTTGAGATATTCGATTATTTGGTTGATTGTAACAATAATATTGTTTGAACGATTGTGGTTATCCGGACGGTGATCAAGCAGAGAATTTGTATCCATCTTATCATGAGATTTAATTTATTTCTCAAGTTTGACCTTGGCTTTTCAGTCACTTTTTGGTTCGTCTAACTTGACACGCCTGTGGAGGTATATGAATCCATAAATTAAATTTTTTTAAGTCTACAGCATTGACACTGGCCTCATTAGCTTTTCCGAAAATGCCTTGTGCTGAAGGCATTCGGTCAAGCTTCCTGTACATCAACTATTCAGCTCAAACTGTATATGCTTTGAAAAATTGACCATCTCCCTAATATATCTTTGACCAATTCAATTCTGACTTTTAGTTTGACTGACTTTAGAATCTACAGTTAGAACTGTGTTAAGAACAACAGCGTTATCATGTCCTGAATATTCATGAAATTTTAGAAGTGAACTCGGCATGACTTGGTACACCGAGCGGAAAATTGTGAGTTTGTTCCTCGTCGTAACGTTAAATACATACGTTTACATTTTGCGATATTACTTTTGTGTTCTTAAGTTTTTTCACATTCGCAAATTTCATTCTTACGCAGCAACACTTCTTTGGCCTGACAATAACAAGACTTGGTTTTCCCATGCATGAGCCAACTTCCACGAGCACAACGTAACAACCCCGCTGGTATAGTTATTCGCAATAGTGACGAGACTACAGTGCTAGTTTAACAGGTGTGTGACACCTAACGTGTTTACTAGTGATGCTTCAAAACTTTGGGACATCTTGAAAAGGCTATCACTGAGCATGGACTTAAAGTCGATAGAGAAAGTTTAGATCATCTCTTCCACAATATCGACGTGCGACGTGACTCTGCGACAGAAACCGTGCCACGTACGCTTTTTTAGATGACTCCTGTCTAAGATTCTATAAGGGGTTCAAGAGGTTTTCCTTTTCATCCCAAAACAATTCTAAGGATGAAATAGCTACATGTTCCGACCGGAATATGAAGGCCAAAAACAGCAAGCGCAGGTGTTCGTCTCGTTGAGGAAAGACCTCAATCAGTTGAAAGCAAAATTACAGATTACTGTAATACTAACATGCGTTTTCCTAACACTCAGATTGATCACAGATGATATCGCACGCGACGAACAGGACGTTACTCTCAGACTGATTCCTGTGGATTTCCTGCTTGGGATCTATTGAGAATAGAACGGATTATTATCTCTTAGAATTGGAGGACAAACGTCCTTCGAGAATCATCAGCGTATACATTGTATACTTTTTGCTGTAGGGTAAAATCACAGTTTAAGAAGTTCATAGCATGTATTTTCATGTATATATGACTATGCATCCTCTTCACTATCTTACAGAACCACAACCTTGCACTTCCAAAATATGTACAATCATAGATAATGAAAAGTTGTTCTCCGAATGTCATATACTTCCTTAAATTTTATCTGGTTGCTACAACTCACACATTTTCCCGAATTACTGGTCCGATTTCGACCTCAATCTATCACTTCCAAAAATATATAATCGTACATGATGAGGCATAATCCTTCTAAAATTATATATGATTTTATATACCATCCCTTAAATTGTATTATCCTATTGAATTGTCTGTTCAATTTAGTTTGTCAGAGTTTTTGGTCAGTACGTCTATCTGAAATACTGTTTCATATATGTAAGTCATAAAGTATCGTGTTAATTTTAGATAGTATAAATTCTCGTTAAGTCTGTACATCACCACACTCGCCAATTTAAACTAATGCCAGTCTTCGTTTTATTTATGTACCACATACAGCTCTCATTTTAATCATTTGATCCTGAATATAGACAGTTCAAAATTATTTTGATATACTGAGCATGCCCTTCCATGACATCTCTAAATAAAAACTTTTCAAACGTGCACGTTTTTGTGCTGTTTCACATCTAAACATATGTTTACATACTTCACCTCCACTATGATTTTCCTGACAATACATCCGCTTGTATTTGCCACTATTATTACACATTTTATTCTCCTATTTGTTTCCAAAATAGGCCTTGATCTCGTTTTGATTTGAGCTTTTTGATTTGCATCATCCTTTTTATTTTAATGCATTTTTTCCTATCGGTTTGCTACTAATGACTTCACTTTCATGTTCTGGAAAACTCGAGATGCTCATTCAGCTTGCCGTCCAGCCAAACGTAGGAAAAGGACATAATATAACACTACGATGGATACGATTTCCTAAATTTTTAACAACTCGTGCTTTTTAAGGTTGTAACTTTTTTGCACGTGGTTTTATTTTGTTTTCCTGTCAGTTTTTCCCTTTAATTTAACAACACTTATTAGCGAATAATACTTCATTTCTGATAGTCTTCTATTAGTTTGACACCTCGTCTTGAGACTCAACGTCATACACTACGTTCTCTAGCTTTCATGCTGTCCATCCCTTTTCGCTCACTAACGTTAATATATTAGCTCTTAACAAATATTGAAAGTAATCCTACCATAGAACTTTATAAATTTAATAAGCTAGTTTATAGCAGTCGCTGTTCATCTGATACAAACCTTATATTTACATTACTTTCAATTATGTTCAGGCTATCTAAAAATTCTATAATCTCTCCTGATTTCAATAGCACCTGCAAAAGATCTAAATCAGTCACTAAAGCGAATAATACGAAGTATTATAAACACACTACTCAGTCTTCATCCTATTCCGATCTCCTCACAATAACACTAGACGTGCATGACATGTCACTACCTTGTATTTCGCTTGTATATATGAATAAGAGTACTCACATACCGTGCGAGTCGATACCATTTGGCAACCCACCCAAAGGCGTCACATGTTGTGAGCAGTATTTAGACACTGCGGTTGACCCCAAACACAAAAGAACTCCACAATCAGCCATTCTGTACGGCGGCACAGAGTGCATCTAAGCCTATCTACAGTAGCCAGCCCAATGATGTAGATCTGGACTACTCACCCAAATATATACCCCATTCCTTAACTAAGTGTTCACAAGGTGTCCACCCGGTAGACACTTGCAACATTTCTGTATGCAACCACATCGACCCTAACAATTTTGATATAAATTCCGATAATTTCACCAGTAGTGGTTCTAAGAGCAGCCAAATAGAACTTAGTCTCACCCAAATTGTTCAAGACTTATTACCGTACAAATATTTAATCAGCGTTCCAGAATATCGTGATCTCGAAATTATAAAAAACATTAAAAAAGCAATTGACTATATATCATCTGAGGAGTTGAAGAGATTATAGTGTATGCAGAATGTCATTGTGTATAATATACCTGATAGTGCGAACGTAAAGTTTGCTAAAATTACCACAAGAATATGGATTGTCGCAATCTCGGTGTGTAACAAGAAGATAACGTGAAGCACGCACGAAAGCCTCTTGTCCCATTCTACTTCAGTTTGGCAGTATGACAGAAGCCAATCACCTCGATAGTCAATCATTTATGAGGCGTATTCTAACATTTAAATCATTAGAATCATCCATGAAAGGACTGCCATCTAGCATCGAATCATAGGTTAATTGCAAATCATTCAACCCAGCCTAGGAAGTAACGGCAGTTGCAACGTTAGCCAATGCACAAATCTTAAAACACCATACACTACCCCTCCCATAAAACGGAGGCCCGTTGCATGCTGCCACTAGTTCTAAGAACAAGACTACACATAAAGTAGCAGTAACAATTCATACTGAGCCCAAACGCACGGTTATCCTCAATAGTACCCCAGCATTTCCATAGCGGCTCCGATAAAATGCTTGAAAACAATCCTCACATGAATTGCTCTAATAGCTACAGCCGCTCGGTCACCGCAACACGAAGTAATCCTAGACCCTCAGTAGAAACTCAGAAGTACTCCAGTACTCCCAAACCACAATATGCATTTGCCCACAGAGGCAGAATTTCTTACAACAAACATGGTGGACAGGAAGTGCCCATTCATCCTAAAATGAGGCTAAACTGCACCCACTAATGATACCAGTAAGCCATGTAGAGTGAACCTTGCAGGCTCCAAGAACCAGTACATAACCAAACATGTAACGGCCGAACTGCCAGTATTTGGTTTAAACGCAAAACTGACGAACCAAAATGTATTCTAATAGGCCAGACTACGTTCTTCTGTATAGCTTACGAAGCGTTTTTGAGACACTCATATTAAATTATATCAAAACACAAACTGTGTGCCGAATTCAAACGGTTCTAATTTAGTAAACAGAACAAATTATATAAAAAAACAAAATACCTCAAACGGTACAGCCTGTGCTATACAGTCAGAAGTTTCTCTAACGCAAAGTAGCACGCTAAACAATTAAAGAAACAGTTAATACCGAAGGGTTAGATAGCTGAGAATCAACAAAAATATCCCCAACAAGATGGGATCAAATATCTATCTGCGAAAATTCCAGCGATCCTCCCGAGCAGACAGTCAAAAGGCTAACAGTCACACACTGAACCACGCCGAGATCATGAGCTTAATCAAACACGACTTTACTGTCAATAGTCCGGCAACACGAAACAGAAAAATGGGTAACAAGATATAAGTCTTTGATTAAAATCACGTAAAAAAGCTCAGACGAGAGAGACTTAAGAATAAAAGATGTGGTTAGACAAGATCTGAGCAAAGGTTAAAATACACGACAGGGAGAAGAAACTAGTAAATGATAGCACTGCCCAACAAAAAAGCTGCGGAGGGATTTTCATCGTTCTCTTTCCGTTACAATACACAACACGGACATTTCTCCTGGCAAGAATGTCAGGCAATTATCTATTCCTTACTTGAAACACCTAA